GGACAGAGGGACAGCCAGCAATGACATTGGTGTGTAGTGTAAAAGCTGTGTGTTTATAGCAAATACGTGTAAAGATAGCAATGCTCATTTGGAAATCAACTGCACAGCTGGGCACAGGCTTTACTGTTGAGACCACAGGCCTTTGGAGCAAAACCAGAGCTGCTACCCAAAGGCCATGGATGTACCTGCCCTGCCCTTCCCTTGCTGCCATCTCTAATCATGGGCACAATTTTGGTCAGGGGCTTGTGGCTAATCCTACTCCGGGCCAGCCCAGAAAGAATGGGGATGGGCAAGCACCTCCTGCAGCTGCCCAGTTTGTAGCTGCCAGGCTGGGTCCTCAGTACTGGGACATCAGTGCGAGGGAATGGGGCTGAAGCAGGATTTTAGGGCAAAGGGGATGTAGGAAAAGAGCCCCAGCCCTGAGATCCTGGCTCAGCTAGGTGGGGTCCTGTCTAGGGCCTCTCAGGGTGGCACCAAGCTTGAGGCTCTCAAGGTGGTTTATTGCCCCACTGATTGGGTTGTGAGGGTTTTGGCAGATTGGAATGCTCTGCTGAGAAAAAGGCCTCTGGTTGTCACCTCTCTCATTTCTCTGTGCTTAAATTGTATTTTCTCAGTTTGCAATGTCAGGGGGCTGGGTGCACTGTGAAGCAATTTGGATTCTGCATTGATAAGGCAAGTGCAAACTGTCTCCGCAGTTCTCGAGAGCAGAATCAAACTGAAACTTACCACTCAGAGTAGAAAGCACATAACACCCACAGCTACAGGCATGCACAAATTGCTGTAATATAGGTTAGAAAAGGAGCCCTGTTCTGCACTCTCTGGTCTCATTAAAAACATGCACACAACACCAAATCTTCACTGAATGACTACAAGCACCAGCGCATGTTCCCTCCTAAACACCCAACTTACTTGTAACGGCTTATTGAAAAGGCAAATTTTCACTTTTCACGTATTCTTGCTCCCCTTAGCACCTGGTTGCAGTTTCTACAACATTTTAAACTTCTGTTTTTTTCATGACTGGTTGCAAGTAAAGTGAGACCTCTATGGGACACCACTCAGCCTGGTTAACTGGGTCCCCACCTGGGGACGTGGCTCCAGCGTGGCCAGAAGAAACCAAACTTCCCCCTCTTAGTAAAGCATCTGCAAGGGGCTTCGAGGATGACAAGAAGAGCAGATCTGGTCTGTAAAGATGTACAGAACTTGTCCCTTAAAAACAAAAGGTCATCAGAACACACAAGGTACACTAAGAAGGTAAAGGTGGGGGAAAAAAGTGTTTCCTGGGGTTTACAGAGGGACAGTTCTCATGCAGAAAATTTTGCCATAGGAAAGTTGTTGGGAGACTGGGAACTATAATAGCCAAGAAATCACATTCAAAATGCTGCTGCCACACTCTTCTTCCTGCCCAAAAGCTGACCACTGCATTTAAGTAAGGATTTAGTGTATAAGACCTAACTGGTAAGGGCAGGAGCTTTGGGTCTCCCTAACCCCAAGACTGATACCACATTGTGACAGCTGTCCTCAGCATAAGTGAAATAGAAAAGAGGTTTTTAGTCTCTGATTTTGCTGTGTGTGGTTTCAATATTGCAGGAATTGTTTCTCTTCCCAGTGCAGTGTGGCCACTTTGGGGCAGGAATGCTGTAAGGAATCTCACTCGGTCCTTGGATAAGGAAATGATCAAGGACTTGCTTATTCACAATTAATGGAGAAAAAGAGCTGAAAGCCTTTATTAATCATTGCACAATAAGGAAGTCATACTGGTTTTGCTCCCTTCAATATGGCTATTTGGTCACACCTACCTAAGTGGTTTGGCATCCCAACCATCTCTCTGCGTGCAGCTGAGGAGGAGGAGGAGGAGGAGGAAGGAAGGGCGGGCCTTGCTTCAGCACCACCAAGGTGCCTGGCTGACAGCTCACAGGGAAGGGAGAGCTCTGAGTGTTCATCTCCCTTTCCTGAAGGGCCGGGCATCTCTTTTTAGAGATCTCTGCCCAGAGCACATACCAGTGCTGCTTGTCCCCATGCTTTGGGCACAGGTTTCTGCCTCAAGCCCTGGTGTCAAAAAGGAGCAGAAATGAATGCATGCCCTGTGCCAGAGTTCCCCCCGCCAGCTGCAGGGGTCCCTGCCAGGGAGAGTCAGCTCTTGGGGGTGTGTGCCACCCACCCAGTCACTGCAGATCCTTGCCTTACTACTGGGCTCCTGCTCCCTCGTTTACCTATTGTGGCAGCCAATCTGTGTAACCCCCAGCTCCAGAAAGTAATCTGTGGCTAGATGTGGTGGCTGGCAGGTTCCTCTGAAGTGCCAGGAGACAGGTGCTCAGCCTCCAGGCTTTGGCTGGCACAGGGAGCTGTATTGCCCTAGAAAAGGGTGCTGAGGTGATGTCTCAGGGGTCTTTCCTAGGTGAGCTTGTGCAGGCTGAAGTTTGTAGAGCTGCACAGCCTGAGCCAGCAGAGCCTGTGCTGCCTGGAGATGGGTTTTCCTGTGTAGAGCACCGCTGAAGCGGTGCCAAGCTGCAAGTTCTCATGGTGGAACTAAGGATACTTTGGCTTTGAAGCAGAAGGCAATGTCTGCTTGTACACACCCCCAAGCAGACACCTGACCCCTCTGTCATGGGATGAGAATACAACTTTGCATCAGAGGTCTGCACTCGGGCAGGGTCTCGGTGAGGCTTAGTGGCCCCTCTCCCATTTGGCTGCCACAATGAATTGCTGGGAAATGTTCCCCAATCTCTTAAAAATGAGTGAAAGCAGAGTCATGCAGCATATTGGAAACTCTGTCATTGATGGCAGCTGGTACAAAGGTGGCCTCGACTGGTGTGCAGATGTGCTCTTTGCCAGCTCTTCCATGTGCTTCTCGGGAGAATGGGAAGGGCAAGCAGACATGCTGTTTTCAGGATGGGTCTGTTTCAGCATCTCATGAAAAATTAAACACTTGTGATTTTGGGACATGCCACATCTTTGACAAAAGCTCTTGTTTTTCTGCTGTTCAGGTGAGATTGTGCTGATGTTACCAAAATGTCAGCCTGTGCTCCCCACATCCCAGGCCAGGCAGCTGCCTTTTTCTTGCCAGCCTACCCCAACCTTGCGCAGAGGAGGGAAACCTCCCTCTCAATGCCAGGGCGGCTGCTTTGATGCTGTCAGTGAGTTTTTCTTTAGCCACCGTGACAGGCTGTGTTTTGCAGATACCTGCCCCATGATGGACACATTCCTCAGCCGAACCGCATCCACTCAGCTCCGGCTCATGCAGTAATTAGACAAGTGTTTCCTGGCTGCCTTTAATTACAGCCACAACTATTTCCCTCACTCTAATGTAACAGCTCTGAATGACAGGAAAGCTTTTGGGCCGCATCCCACACGGTCCCAGCACGTGTTGAGACGCGGCCATGCACTGGCAGACACTGATTTGAACCCAAAGGGCTCATACCCCCTCAGTGAGTCACATTTTTCATTTTCGACCTCAAGGCCATTATTGCCCACACTGGGAATTAGCGGTGTCTCCCCAGTACCCAGCTGAGAAGCAACTGGGCTTTATAAACCGGGCAACATCCTCCCTAAATCTGTGCTTGAGTCTATCTCAGCTGTAATTCGCCCTGTCCTGTGGCAAAGCAGTTCAGCTGACAAGGCCACATTGCCCAACACTTTTGGCCCCTCAACATTTTCACACTGGTGGCAGCGAGATGGGCATGGGGCGTGCCCGCCCACAGGCAGCTGGCAGCTCTGTGCCGGGCACGCGGTCTCGCGGGGCCGCGTTTTGTGGCAGCTCCCAAATTGATGAGCTTTCCCACTCCAGCCCCTCGCTGACGCTGTTGTGGTTATCTGACCTGGTGGTGGTGGTGTTGCCATGGCCGAATCCCGCTGTATTGCTGCTCCGAGCCCCCAAGCTGTCAGCGGGTCCCAGCCGGCGTGGGGGCTGCCAGAACCCAAGGCAGCAGCTGCCGCGCTCGGCCTCGCGACGCTGTGATCTATAACGTGCATTGTCTTTTTATGTAATGTGTTTTATTAAACATCTTCTAAAGCTTACAAGTGTCCCCAGGACATAACTCTCCAGCACAACGTAATGCTTTGCCAAGTAATGAAGTATGATTTATGGCGGTAATGGTTATCCTATGTTTTTTTAAAAAAATTATTACAGCAATAGCTCTGTCGAATATAGGAATATAACATGCTGCATTTGGCACGTTTATGACAACAGTGCTCTGGTTTTCTTAACTCCACAGTTCGGTGTTGGCAGTATTTCAAATTCTTGAGACAGATGTTTAAATGAATTTTTTTAAGAGGACAGTGAAATACTTTTAAAACATCATACAGCACTGAGTGTCTCAATATGTGCAGAACGTTATTTCTTTAACATTCAGGTAGGGCAGGGCAGCACATGGCCTCTCTGGTTTAGATCTCATGGTAAATGATGGAAGTAGCAAATGTTGAATTACCTTTCTGGGGCATCCTGGCCTGCTGTTACTCTTGGGCTGAGGTGGGGAGGGAGGGGCAGACACTTGACCTTCTCCTGGATTTAGTGCAGTGTTCACATCTCCTTTGTGAGCACTTACAGCAGATCCACGTTTGTTTTGAATGCAGTTCCCACCATGCTGAGACAGGATTAAGTGGTCTCACACTGACATTTTGAGTGTGTCATTGTGGTCCCAGTGGTTAGGGTTTCAGGCCAGAAATGACAATCATTTGGAAAAATGTAAATGAGAACCCTAGTCATGTATCTCTGAGGCAGATAGCATTCAAGTATTTCCATTGAAACACTGAAAATTCTTGGCTTTTTTTTTCTAAAAATAGGTACTGGCTGAAACTGAGGAAACCTCTGTACAAAATGAAGCCAGGGTATTCAGCTCTGGCATTGCTGTTGGCACCTTTCCAGGAGGGAAAATCAGAACCCACAAAGGCAGGAGTCAGCATTGCTGAAGACACCATCGCCCTCAGTGTACCAGCGCTGGGGCCACAACCAGGCTGTGCAACCAGCTGGTGCAGAGAGATTGAAGACAAGGGAAGCATCAGTAAAGCAATGAACACTTATATTTAATTTACATTTGACAATTTGCACATAAATAATGATGTAAACCAATACGTAAACATATAATAGTTTGTTGTTCTAGCAAAGTAAAAAGCCTGTTAACTTTGGTCAGAGTCTTTCTTAAGAGAGACAAAAAACCCCCAAAAACACTGTTGATTGTTGCTACATTCACATGTAAAACGTCTAAGGGGAGGGGGAAACAGTAAAGAGAAGTAACAATTCTTAAAGCTGATGCATATAAATTCTTGTAAATTTTGTATCAAATACAAGAAAGCACTACAGGCAATAATAGGAAAAGTGTGTGTCCAGTGACAGAGTAGTGATACTTTGGTTTATCCTACAATTAAGTACTATATTTATGAACTATTGCTACATTTAAAAGATGTCAGCCTCACAATTTGCAGGAGTGGAAATGTAATGAACTGGAGTCCTTCAAAAGCTGTGTTTATAGATGTGTATTTCAGAATTGTTTGGTTTTTTTAACAGAAGGCATTAAAATGAAGTTTGCTGAAAAAAAAAGACCACCGAATCCTGAATTGTTGAGGTGGACTTGTAAAATTTTTTTTAAGACTATAACCAGACAAAAAGGGATACATGGAGGGGAGGTGTGTAATAATGCTACTTATGTTCATGTGAGTTGATTGTGCAACTCCTTAGTGGCAGGGCACAATGAGACAAGGGCCTTGTCTCACCAGACTTCCATCCTGCCCTTACTGTGATTTGTGATAACATCACGCACGGGTCATATTTGGCTTCTTTTCAAGTTCTTTCAGTAATATTTTCTGGTCGTCTGTTGACTGACCACCAGCCTCCTTCCCCCCCAGTGCAGACTGCCAGGAGAGCAGGGGACTGAAGGAGCCCTGGCCTGCAATACAGGGTCATTCCCACCAAATTCACTGAGATGCCACACGTGGATGCAGGATGATGTCATTCACACGTTTGCAAGTTCCAGCTTCATCTTCAGCTGCGTGTGTGTATTTGCAAGTGATAAATGCCTTGGTACATCCTTCTGGTTTTGAGGTCATTGGTTATTTGCAAAACTGGATAACATTTGATTTTCACACTTAGATGAAAAATAGGTTTTATTACATGGTTTGGCTCACAACTTAAGTGGTATAAATATATATACATATACATATATCGTATAGTGGTATAAATATATCTATAAATATACATGTATTCTTTGCTACACCTCAAACGTCACCATATCATCTTTGGGCTTAGCAAAACAAAAAGATAAAAGGATGTGCATTCTATCTTTCCCTGTGCACATTTTGGTTTCTTCTCTAAAGTAGCAAAGCATTTAGGTAAAACAGCATTGTCTGCACCACTGGACACAAGCACTGAGGTAATTGTTGTTCAACAACTTTGCAATGCCCTTTTCTTCTTTAATTAAATTAACCACAAAATGTACAAACACAAATACTGAGAAAAATCTGAGTCGTACAGGAAGGAAGAAAAAAAATTTATGTGCCAGGAAAGGACTTTGTAGCCCACTTCTACCCAGGCGAAGTGGGAGAGAAAAATACAAGTAAAACTGAACCCCTTCTTACTCAGGGAATCTGACCATCTTTTTTTTTATCCCTGGAAGGCTCTGGCCAAAAAAAACCCAAAATAAAACAAAAATCGTAAGAAAGAAATCTGCCCAAACCCCACTTTAGGCAGAATAATATTTGTGTCGTTGCTTTTAAATTGCTTTTGGAAACAAGAAAATGTAAGTGAGATTTTATTTTGGAAAAGCCGCTTTAAGCTCATGTGTTCCTTTGGTCTTAAAGTTACATGACAATGTGTGGGGCTGGAGCTGTGTTCTAAAACCCTGTGGTATTGTCCATGGCAGGTCAGTGTTTGCTGTGCCACATCTGTTCCAGGGAGAGCTGCAGGTAGAAGAATCTTTCTCATCCCCTCAGAGAGGCAGGAGAAAAAGCTTCTTCCCTGCTTGCTGCTGCTCTGGGCTGTTGGTTTGCTATTTTTTTTCTTCTATTCAATTCCCACTGGGGTGATTTACTCATGAAAGTACACAGCATTTTTTTTCAAACTAACAGATCTAGGATTCCGTATGTCACATGTCCAGCTTTGGCAATATGAAAAACCACATTTGTTTAAAAGACATTGGTACATAAAACACATTTACTGAAACCCTAATCTTAGGTTCTTAAAACAGATGTGCAGAAAAAAAAAATATCTACAAAGAATGGCCATAAAACAAAAAAAAAACCATTTAAAGTAAAAATTACAATGAATTTTTCCAGTCATTGTAAACATTTTCCTAATTATTGCTTTTAGAATGATTAATTGCATAATAAATTATGAAGTACTATCATTGAAAAAATAATTATGAATAAATGATTGTCTCTTAGTAACTGGCGAGGCAATGCAGAGTCCTTTGCCCCTTTTTATGCCCTGAGAAAACAGTAACTTTGGAGTTCCTTCTTTCAGCTGGAGAGCGTAGGGAAACTACTGTAAGCCAAGATTGCTTTGCAGCATTGAAACTATGTACAAGCAACTGCTACAGGCACCCTGACTTGCCAAGTCATAAATAAAAAAAATCACTTTGCCAAAAAGTCTTAAGGGTCCATTGGTTCAATTGTTTCTTGCTTGACCTTTACAGGTAACAGAGGTAGTGGGTGACCGTGAGGCAACTTCATAACTGACATATCTGACGACTCGTAAAGGTTGCATCCTGAGGAGATAAGCCCATTTCCCAGGTTCCTCTGTAGAGAGACTTTCAGGTTAGCTCCCTCCATTTCCCTCCTGAGCATGGTCAGTATATCCTTCTCCACGATCGATGTTAAGTCGATATTGTCCTCCACTTCTTCCAGCTTGTCAGCATTGTCACTGATGTCGAACTTCTCAATCTCCTCGTTGATTCGGTTCAGGTCCTCCATGGAGAGGCCAGAGGCCGGGGCGACAGGGCAGTTGCCCTTCAGGTGGACCTGGAGGCTGCAGAGGTGAATGTAGCTCTTGTGGCAGTGGATGCATTTATGGGGGCGTTCCCGGGTGTGGAGACGCTTGTGCAGCTTCAGGTGCACAAACTGGGTGAATTTGGCTGGGCAGAGCTTGCACTGGTAAGGCTTCTCTCCAGAGTGGAGCCGCAGGTGGGTTTTGAGATTGCTGGTGCTGCTGAACCGCTTGTGACAAACCTAATGTGGGGGGTGGCAGAGAAACAGCAAATGAGTGGGAGGTGATTTTATAGTTTAAATCACAGACACCTAGGAGGAGATGGCAAGATGAAGCAGCAGCTTTCTATATCTTCACACTTTCTCACAAATAGAAAAAAATCCCCACCTTTTTTATTTTAAATATCGCTGAATGTCATTTTGAATGTGTCTGACGGCAAAACTGTATCAGGCAGGTGTTGCTCTAGCAGGCTGCAGGCAATAGTGCTGTCTTGTGGACACTGCTGCACCAGGGCTGGGCCCGGCTATGGTGCAGATTCTGGCCCTGAGCAAGGAAGGGTTTTTCCCTCAGCCTTCCCTGCACACCGTAGGGGATGTGCAAAGCCCTGCCGTCCCTTTGGCCTCCAAAGGAATCACCTCTCTGTGTTACATACCTGACACTCGTGGGGTTTTTCTCCCGTGTGTACCAGATAGTGCTTCTGGAGGTGAGCCAGCTGTGTGAAGCCCTTATTGCAAGTCTGGCATTTAAATGGTCTCTCTCCACTGTGTACTCGGAGGTGCACCTAGGGAGAGACAAAGCAATTAACAATTTGCAGTTTCCAGTACTACAACAAAAGTGCTTTCAGATGTTTCCTACAGTCAGCGGAAGAGTCCCATTGCCAAAATACAATGTTATCTGGTTAATTAGGTGGCGTCAGTATTAAAGCACACAACCACGCTTTCTTGCTGGGGGATCCTGTATTAAGCCCAGACGAATAAACAGCCTAACAAGCAAGGGAGGTCTGACCCTGCTTTTCTTCGAAAACCTACAGGGAGAAATCTGAGCCTTCAAAGAAGGCTCCTGTCTTATTCTCCACTGCCTACCTTCAGATTGGAGAGCTGGCCAAAGGTCTTGGAGCAAACATTGCATTCGTACTTGATCTTCCCATTCTGTTTTTTCAGTGGGTATGGGAGGGTTTTGTAACCGGTCACATTCCTCTTACTTTTAATGAGATTCATGGCTTCTTCACCACCGGTGGCAGCCAACACCACTGAGGTAGGTTTAGGTTGCATTATGTGTTCCGAACTGGCTGCTGTACCAGCGGTGGGGGACCCACTGGTAGGGCTGCATGGCTTGTCCTTCATGCTGGCAGCAGCGCCCGTGACAGAGAAGGCACTGTTGGGTGCTGGTATGAGGAAGTCTCTCGGATGATCAGGCTGCAGCAGTCGACGGCCTCCTTCACTGGGCAGTGAGCTGGGGAGCGTGGTGGGGTTGAGCATGTGGTGGGAAAGGCTACCTCCGCTGAGCAGGTTGCCATAAAGAGGGTACATCCTTGGGAAGAGATTGAAATTGTTGATGCCATTGATATTGTTCAAAGCGCTCAGGTTATTACAGCTCACATTGAATGGAGGTAACAGGAATTTGGGGTAATGGGGGTTATAGGATGGTAGAAAAGCAGGTGAGAGGTGGCCAGGGGGTGCATATCCAGGATAAGACCCCAATCCTTCTGAGCCATATGATCCATTCAAGTAAGAGTATGGCTCTCTGTGCTCTTGGGAAGTAGGTGCCAGAGGTGAAACTGTGACCCCCGGACTACTGTGAGGGCTTGAACTTTTTAAACTTTGGTCTGGGCTGCTCCTCCCGGAAGGACTTGGTGTAGTAGATGCCTGGATGGGCGAGTGAGTAATGTAGCTGGGTCTGTCCATGCCATATGCTAAGGAAGCTTTCAGATAGTCTTCTGGAATGTGAGGTCGGATCGGGTAGACAACTCGAGGGAAGAAACACCTCTCTGGGCTATAGTTCCTACGTAAATCATCCAAGTCTTTTTCTGGAGTAACTGGTGAAATGTTGGTCTGAAAGAAGTCTTTTCCTTTAGGAGGATTGGATTCCATTTTCAGGATTTCTTTCACACTGTGCTCCTTCTTTGGGATGCTTTTCTGATAAAGCTCATCTTTATCAGCACTGTGCTGCTTTGGATTAATGTGGGTTTGTGCTGAAATACAAAAACAAGATAATGATTATTTAGGTATGTCACTGGTGTTATCTCTTTTCAAAACAAATCTAACCCCTACAAGTTTAGTGGGAAGGAAGGGCTACTCTCAGAGATGAGCAATCATTCAACTTGCCACAAAACTAATGGTTGTGTGAAGAAATGCCTGCTACTATTAAGTGTTAATAAAAAGCATTGTTATTTTAAGGGATACTGACCAGTACATAAGATCTGGATAATGATGCATTTGCAGAGTGCCAGTCTCCACTCCACAAACTGATTTCACCTTCCTTCCCCCTTAAATTTGCCTAGCTTCACTGTTGAATGCCTCTTTAAGCAGTATTTCTAATAAATGTGGTAATGAGCATTTGTTCACAAAACAGGTTTAACTGAAGGACTCTGCAGAACACAAGCTCCCAGAAATGTTCCTCAGTAAAATAACAAGGCATGACAAATCGGGTTTTGCCAAACCGCAGCAGTCACTTCACCAGCCAGTTCAATTACTTACAGTACCAAAAAAACCATGGCTGGCTAGGATGAAAGCCTTCTTCAAAGAGAAGGTATTCTCCATCAGTAAACAGATCATTACTCATTAAATATACTGCTTAGGAACATCTACAACAAAGCAGACTATTTACTGCAGATTTCTGTGGCATTCAGTCTATGCAAAACTCCTCTGCTTACAGCTGTATTTTATAAAAAAATGCTGAAGCAAAGCAAAAGAAAGCAAGACTGGTTGGCTCCAGCTTAAGTTGAAATGTGCTTTAAAAAAAAAGGGAAAAGAAATATGTATTTAGAAGGAAATAGAAGCTAGCACACATTCATCTCAGTTGAGCACATACTCTATTTATCTGTATTCAAAGACCTTGCTGTCTGGACATAATACAATCTTAACAGCACACTGAAAGATGACTTCAGTAGAAAAAAAAAATCTGCATTTATCTTTGTTACATAACCTTGATTACTTGTAAGATATTATATTATAGAAGGGGAAGACTACAAGAAGGTTTCATAATCATAGTTAGTAAGTGCAAGGCTTTCCATCAGGAGGTAGAAGCCAACACCAGTAGGTACGTGACTCAAGAACACTGCAGTCCTTTAGACATGTTTTCTGCTTCCATGACTGACTGTTCTTACTTCACTATCTGAGGTGAGAAACAGTTATTTCTGATTTTTGGAGGATCATCTGAACCAAGTGAGGAATGTGAGAACAGGCAATTACCATGCCGCTTTCAACACAGATTCTTTGTTCACTATTCACTACCCTGATGGAATCTATCATTTAGCAACATTACCCTATAAGGCAAAGAAACAGCCATTTATTAAACATATCCAAGAAAACAGCTGCTTGCAAAGCATGCTCCTACTTACAGCAACCCACTTTACAGTAGCATTCTTTTTGAAATGGCATTAGACTAGGAACAAGAAAATTTAGTTTGAGATTTTTGAGTAGTTTGTATACTTTCAAGCTCCAATGAAATGCAATTGAACACAATTAAGTTCAATTAAAATATTTATGATAAAAATTAAGTGTTGTACAGCAAGCATATGCATACACAAGTGCATAGGTAGCTTTCCAATTACTTCTCTTGGTGTCCAAAGTTTAATGCAGAGTTGTATCAAAAATAAAGTAATAACATGTTGTGTTTTCTGACTTTAAAAACCATCTACTTTCTTTGGTAATTTTGTTTTAACTTCTGGACTGGTAACTCATTTTCTAAATGTCAGCCAGGTTTTGGGGCATAGCATAAAGGTCCTACTAGGTTGAAGAAGCTCTACAATGGCACTGTGAATAATATTATCTGTATCTTCTTATCAGCTGCCTTTCACCACAGCAGTGTCTCAGAGCAAACATTCTTGGTGACACTATCAGCATCAGGAAGTATCAAGACCAGGCAGTATTGAAAACTGGACATGGGGGTGGGAGGCAGGACTTGTGAAGCCTTGCAACAGGAAAAATAAATAAATACCACCTTATCAGGCCCATATCAGTTTCTCAGTGGGGCCTGTCAAACAGGAAGTTCAAATTGACACTTTTCTCTTTTAAAGAAAAAAACCCAGGGGGAGGGGAAGAGGAAGGAGAAAAGGAGAAATGCTGGTGCTGCTGGAAAAGTGATAGAGAAACTGAGGCCTCTTCAGCTGGAAAAAGAGCTCCCACTGTCACAAAGTTAAACATGAGGGTGGGGATGTACGTGCCTTATGTGCTGGAGCAAGCCAGGAGTGACAGAAAAGAAGCTCGTTCAGAGATGGTAACTTTCTTTCTGCAGCAATCCCATGCTCGCTCTTGACTGACTAAAGATAATTGCTCTTTTCTTCCTTCTGAGTTTTCCCAGTAAAGCTGTCCCTCTTGCTAATTTCCATGTGTAGACAGAAGTCGTGATATTTAAAGATAATTTTCCACGTCCAACTGTGACAGCTCTCTTTAGTATGCAAGCTATCTTTGGTCCATAAATCCCCTCCTGGCTTTTTCCCTTATTACTTGAGCACAAAGGACACTTGGGAACACCAGAGAGATCAAAACATAAACAAGAGTGTCAGCACTGTGTAAAACAAGAGAAGGTAATGTCCGGGGCCAAGGAGAGGTTCTTGAGTTTTATACTGAAGGTGAATTTAAACCAGGGCTGAAATTGATTGAGAGGTTTACAACCTTTCTTGTTGCTCTTAAAGGAGCCATACTTCAAAGTTAAAGAGATATATTTCTTATAAATGGATTTTTTTTTTAACTTGTGGTCTTAGATTTAAGGTTTTACCAATCAGAGTGTCTCCCATTCACTCTTGAAATGCATTTCTCCCCCTGACCCCCATATACACATACATACATACATATATATATATATATATATATATATATATATGCACATATATACACAGCAAATAGAAGCACATACTCTTCCAAGATCCGTCTAGTTTCTGTGGTCAGAGGGACGCACAGAAAAGAGAATAATGACAAAACAAGAATGGTGCAGCTGCATTTTTAAGTTACTGATCTGAGGCGGGGGGGAGTGGGGTGGGGGGGATAGAAAGGAGGAAAAAACCCAAATGTGCTTATTGAGGAGCCTGATCCACTTCTAACTGAGGTCAACAGATTATTTGCTCAGATCTGAGATTAGTGACTGCATGCAAGAGGAAAAGGGAGAAAACTCCTTGGGTGAAGGAGCTGCCTGAAGTCACTCCAGCGTGGGTGTTCCAGCTACAGACTACTGCAGAGCTATAGACTTTGCTCTCAGTTCTTGTGCTCTGAGCTGTAGCCTGAGAAACATTTCATAAAAACAATGATCTGTTCTTTTCTAAAAACTTGAAAAACGGTTGTAGGCAGACAGTAATTGCAATAGTAATTTCAGGAGTGAGATGGTACTGAACACTTTGAGTGGTAGAGCTTAATTATGCCGATTCACATTTTCGATCTAAATTAAGCACCTCTTTTCCTAGTAGAAAGAGAACCTCGAAGTTGTGAAGCGGGCAAAACAAAGACTGTTTCCACTCAAAATGAGAACAGAGACCAACATTTAGAAGTACAAAATTTGATCATCTGTTTTCTAAATGTGTCTGTGGCAGTGTGACATGCCTTTGAAAACTTTTTGCTCAGAGAAGGTCTTTCTGGGAGCCTTCAAATAATTCTCAATATTAAGACAACTTCAGCCCCCAAATTCTGATTTTGTGAAGACAACTTCTCATATAATTTAAAAATCATTTTCCTGAGCCCTTTTGAACATTCCAGGAGGCATTTTTTTAAGCAAGTGCAGATGTTTCCTCTCAACCCAAACAGAAAAGCTTCAAAACCAGAAAGTGAAACTGCCCATAAACAAAAGGGAAAGCGAGTGACAGGGCTGAGCTAACGGCCAGCGTGTCAGGGCCAGCAGGAAGAAGAGAAGAATAAATTATATTTAAGAAAAAAGCATTAAAAAGTTGATCTTCATAGAACCGGAAACATTTTAAATCATGTCTCGCTAAACCTGTTAATGAAACAAAAAGATTGCCAAATATGTTGTAAATATGCAAATTATTCCCCCAGCTTGATTTTTTTTTCTGAAGCTTGACCAAAAGATGTCACCTGCCTGTACTTGACTGAGGAGACAAACATGACATGAGCAGCAGGAAGTTGCATCATATGATTGCAATATATGAACATTATTATCAAATAGTCATGTCCTGAGTCAATACAGTTGTTTGGATTTTGTTGGGTTTTTGTTGTTTGGTTTTGGTTTTGTTTTTTTTTTTAACTGTTACCCTCTCCATCCCTCCATCCTAAAATAATCCTCCCATGTTGAGGTAAGAATGAAATTCTAAACCATTTGGAACCACCAAAGCAAATTTCCTCAGTGTTTGCTAAATAAAATATCACAGACAAAAAGACAAGCTGAAGGAACAGTTGAATAAGGTTAAGCATATTTAACTAATTACTGAAAAATTATTTTTAGCAGAGTACAGAAATCTTGTGCCACCATACTTAAAACTATTTACTGGACAACGGCACCATCTGAAGGTGACATCTCAAATTTTAGCAGAAAATATCAGAGGTCTCAAAACAGGGAGGAAGGGAATGACACTTGAGTTTCCAGCATTGGGATAATGTGGAGTCTTGCCTCTACCACTGTTGTGCAACTCCTTGCAGGCACTTCAACATCCATTTGAAGTTACATAGCTCCACTTGGAGCTAATCATGGCCATGAAGGTAGGTGTGTGCTCCAGCGTCTGAAGGACTGGGTCAAAGGCCCCAATTCAGGAAAACACAGAGGACAGGGTTAAACCCACAACTAAGTACATGCCTAATTGCTGTCTTGCATCTGGATGCTTTCCTTCTGCGGCACAAATGAGCTAATGCTGGGGAAGTTACCTTTAATTTGAAAGTTTGCTGTTACAGAGGCAAGTAGATGTTACATGTGGGTGTGTAAATACATTTATGCTCTAAAGTGGTGGTTCTCTCATTTTTGAGGCCACTAATTACAGGAAATAAAGCCAGAGAAATTCCCTGATACATTTTTCCCCAGAGGCCCATCCTGCTCTGGTGCTTAAAGAGGAACTAAGGTGCTGAACTCTAAGGCTGTGATCCCCAAACCCTTGAGGCACTTAAAGCAGCTGCCTATATTTTAAGTTGGCAAGACTGGAAGGTCTCTGTAGGTGTGTGTCCAGGTGGCCTCTCCTGTGCTGGGCAGCTAGCCGAGGTACGACTCTTCAAAGCCTCCCACGAGCACCAGTGTGCGCTGCACACCCAAGACACAGCAAAGGGAGCAATCTGGGTGCAACACACCATGGCTACTGCTGCCTCCCACCCAGACCAGCATGTGTCCCAAGGAAGCCCTGAATTCAGCTTGCCTCTTGGGACCTGGACCCCAACTTTCCCTCCCTCCTCCTCAGTGGGTGCCAAACCCAGCAGCCACAGGCTGGGAGGGCTGGTGATGCACCCTTGCTCTTCTGAGGGAAGCCATACCACTTTAAACACCAAATTATTAGAAATCCATCTGGCTGGAGAGGACTTTCCTGACTTCCTAGCAGGTTGTGTGGGGAGGAGGGGGTCCCCTTCAGCAAGGCTGTGTTCAGATGCCTTGCTGGGCCAAAGCCCCACATCTGTAGCAGGTACAGGGTGCCAGTGAACTGGGGACAAACTTCTGCACTTTACTCATGGATGAATGCAGTGCCAGGGTACCTTGGCCAGCCTTTGTGACAGAGAGAGGATGGAGAGGCAGTATGATGCTCTCTAATTCTAGATTGAACTAGTGGCCTGGGAGAAAAAGCAGAAGAAAGCGAAACAGTGCTGGCATTCACAGTAAACTCATCTGGTTCCAGTACTAATGCTGGAAAAATCACCCCGCTTGCACCATTGCTACATGGAATTTGGCAAATAAGGATCTTTGGGAGAATTTTGGGTTTTTCTTCCACACTTTTCAAAAGGCTAATTTCAGAAAACCTCAATCCTTATGGTATCTGTAGGGTTTTGGCCCATCTGCAGGTTTTAGGTCTGAATGTGTTGCTCACAGGAATGAGGGGAAAAGAAAAAAAGAAGTGACAAGTTTTTCTCATTTTCTGAACTGCTATTTTCTTTAGGTGGAAGGAGCTAACATAAAATTTCTAAATGGTTTAAATGTAATTTCTTAAAGAAAAGAATATCTATTTCAAACTCAGCATCTGGAAATACTGCAAATATTAATGCTGAACTACAAAATTGTGCCTCAGGTTCCCATTTCATTAAATCCTTATACTGAGTCTACTACTTTTACTAAAATTAGTTATTCTGCCAAGTCCAGACACCCCTAGTTTTGACCTGATTAAGAGTAACCGGACAGAGTAAGAAACACTTTACAAATACAGTAATTGCTACTTCTGCAAGGAAGCCTAAGGTGCCAGCAGATGCAGGAAACCCATCCTGCGTTTGTGCATCCTTCTAGCTAGTGACCAAATGTGCCTGAATCGATTTTAACAAACTCATCCACCAGAGTCCTACATGCTGTTGTCTCATCTCACCTCCAGGTCCCATTGAAAAGCCAACAGTTCATTACCTCAAGAAATAAAACTGCACAGAGAGCAGTGAAATGACATATGCGCAAAGGTGACAGAATCAGTTACATAGTTTTTGAATAGAAAATATAGCTGCATAAGACATTCTCTCCCTCTCTTCCCTCTATCAATAGAAGACAACAGATTTTCTTCTATTAGTTTGTAGGGAAAGACAAGAATCTACTGAAAGGATAACACCAACCGAATACAGACGTACTTTTGATTAATCTGAATGTGTGATCTAAGTTTTATAATACGGGATGACAGTTCTAATGATTCAAAGTAAAACTGGTATTTTATAATCCATCCCTTGTTGCCAAATAACTGTAAATAGTTATTTTTATTTAAAAAAACAAGCAACAAAACAAACAAAAAAAACCCCCAAAAACCTACTTGCAGTTTTTCCTTCAAGTTTCAGTGTAGTCACTGGTAGAAGGACAAAAAAATACTCTGCTCTATCTTAAGAGTAGCAGCAGGGGAAGTAGCCTAAGAGTCCACTGAGAAGTCAGCAAAAATATCTTCTTCTCTAGAAGGGGATTTGGATGAGGTGTCAGGCAGTGATTAAGTGAGAAGTAAAGCACCAAGGCTAGAAATAATGAGAAACCACAGAGTAACACAAACTCCTGGAAACACCTCTTCTCTCTGCTACCAGTGGTATTATTTTTGAACAGAAAATGAAAGCTGCAATAAAATTCAAGAAATGGGGACAAAGTACACTGAGCTTAAAACACGAGTAACCAGAATGAGAAGACCACAGGAGGTTTGCTCCCATAAGATAAGTAAGGGTAGATGCAAGGCTCAGAGTGCATTAGGCAGTAAACACATATTTTGTCAGACACCTAGACAGAGTCATGGCACACTGCCACTTCCTGGTACAGTGAAGGCAGCCCTTTGGGAGCATGAGTGGACAGCTTTTAGTATATGCTACCAAAGCAGGCTTTTGCTCAACACTGTGAGATCTGAAATTGCAAAGTCTGAGTGAACCAACAGCTATGGTTAGGAAGACAGAGGTCAGGTTGTCTGTCCAGAATTTCACCAGACAAGACTCAGATTCAGATTTTATAATCTCTTTCCATTTGAACAGGCACAGGGAACTCATTCTCTTGTGTTGGGTTTTTTAATTCCTTTTTTCCACTCCAAGCTACCCCCTGTGACACAACAGATGATGCAGCTGTGTAATTATACAACTTATTATTAGATCGTATAGGCAGAAGAGACATTACTGGCATTCCTTGTTTATACTGTAATCCACTTACTGAGGTTCATCATTGTCAGCTCTCTGGAGGGGGGATAGTGCAGCCTTTCTGCAAAGTCTCGGCAATACCACACAAGCAGCTCTTGGTTGGCAGGGATGGGCTTGATGGTATAGAAGTAGATGTTCATTCCATTCTGACAAGCAGCCAAGTTCTGCTCCTGAACAGAGTAGCCAGGGTTTACATAACGCATCCAGTTGCTCTTGTCCTCGTTAAATCCATCAATGAAGTGGTGAAGTTCACCACTTGAATAGATCTGGAATAGAGAGGAAGTGCTTATGAATATATATACATATATATAGGCACAATATACAGCATGTACGCACAGAGTCCAGAGGGAAAAAGTGATAAGCTCCCTTTTTTTTTTTTTTTTTTAAGATGAGCACATATTACTGAAGTAAGAGCTCAAGCTGTGTTCTTGCCTTTCCAACGACAGCCTCTGAGTTAAGAACGTATTTAAAGGCAAGTCCACAGTCACCTTTTCCATTTAATCTGAGCCTGTGTCTCTGCTAGCTTTGGAAAACAAGACCAAAATCTGAAATGCAGAATACTCTCTCTGTGTGAACTGTCTACCTTAGAGTCCTTTTCCTGGTGCTCTGATCAACAAGTGGGTGATGCTGATGACTGCAGGTCTGAGTGCATGCTTGCCTTAATGCTTTGAGTCACCTGTGTATAAGACTGACTGGCTGCACTATGTCAGAGTTCTTCTCGCCTCTTTCTATGGCCTCTGTACTTGCAGTTTCCTACCACCTCCACCCAAAGGTTTAAACTATGCAAACATTCTCCACCCCCCAGAGTCCTAAAGCAACACTTGCTCATAGTTGAACTGTAACCCTTTTGTAGGAAGGCTGGGCGAGGCAAAGATGAAATTCACCTGTCATAACTGAAGGAAGACCTGGTGAGGATTTAGCCCATGAGATGTCACTTTTCCTACTAAGGGACATGTTCTGACTTGTCCACAGAGGGGCAAGAAAACACGAATCTGAAAACTGCTTAGTGGTTTCGGGGAAAGAAGTTCCCATCACTGACAGAAGCTACTGTTTCTTGAAATGGTAAGAATAAGAGAATTATTTTTTTAAAAGAAAAAAAATCAAGAGAAATCCAGGAAACACTCTTGTAAAAACACCCTGCTTACTCTCAAGGGGAACTAGCTCCATGCTGGATGAAATGGGGCTCCCGGTTTTCGGAAAACAGATGACCAGGCAAAAGCGAGACCTGGAAGTGGGAGCAGCGTGCAGCAGCAACGCACCTCGCTGAGCAGGAAATGCCTTTCCAAAGGGGAGACAGAGCTTATCTCGGGGAGAAAACACTCCACAGGGTGCTGCTGCCCGTGTGCCGCCAGCACTGCCTCCCGCACCTCCCTGGCCGGGCAGCGCCCCGCGGCCGGCCGGGACCCTCCTGTGCTCCCCGGAGCCCGGCGGGCAGAGAGGGGAGGCGGCCTGGCCCTTTAACGCGGGCCGTAAACACCAGAATCACTTTCTTTTAGAGTAACTTCCTGTAAACTGAGAAGGGGGAAATACATGTGGCCTCATCAAAGCAGCTTGCGAGAGATTTTGCGGTGTGTTTGTTATGAGAAAATGGAAGGGAGCCGGGCGAGTTGTGTTGCATCAAGAGGAGCCTTCGGGTTTCTCTGCTCACCCCGGCTCGCAAACTTCCAGGAACGCGAGGCTCTGGCGCTTGACGCCTGCCACCACTTCCCAAACCAGCCCTCCACCGCTCCCACGCCAGGGCCACAGCTCCGAGTCCCCGGCAGAGGCAGCCCCAGCTCCCACCTATTCTGGGGAAGGCGCGCCCAGATGTGCCGAGTCACGGCGCGGTTCCCAGAAATGACGCGGCCCCGGCGGCCCCGCTCCCCTGGCGCGGGCAGCGTCCCCGGGCGCCCAGCAGATGTTCTGCTCCTGCCAGCGAGCCCAGGATGCCTTAATAACATGTGGGAAGTTATCTCCCACAATTTCCTTTGCACATGGCAAGCCTGTGTCAGACCCCTAGGACGGAATTAATTTTCAGTGCAGAGGTCTGTTTTGAACAAATCAAGAGATTATAACAGGGAATTTAATGATGCTTAGATGGCTCCTAGGATATTATTTCTGAGGATCCCTCCACATTAAGGCTCAAAATCACATCCTAAGAATGATGTAATCTTTCTCACTGCAATGTAGGAATGAAGTCCTGCATGATGGTTATCAGCCCCTCTTCCCTGTGTCAGCCTCCCGGTCTCTTCCTAGACTGGACACAAGCTCCCAAAAAGTTCAGCAAAAAAGAAACATTTTGTGGCCTTACTAATGTGAAAACAGTGCCTGCTCTGTAAAAACACTCATGCAAATAACTGCCTATGCAAGGCTGTATTACATTGTACAAAGATGATCTGAGAAAACCAAAATGATTCAATTAGGTAGGAAGAAAGGAGTGTGGGGAATGCTGATGCATGCCCTGGGTTTCACCTGGATATGAGGTTGGATATTACTAAGGCAGGCAGGCACCTGAGCACAGAGGCTTGGACACAGTCCCAAATCCACGGATTTAGACACAACCTACATCGCTAGAAGGCAGCAAAACAAATCCATGGAATGAGATGGGGCTGAAGGAATGTTCTCTAACAATTTATAATGTGTCTGTAAGGAAAATGAGGATTATGTCAACTGATAAACTGGAAGCATATTCCACAGCACAGACTGCCCGCGCCAAAACATACTGGCTGCTGCTTTCTTCCAGCTTATACTATGGAGTACAAATTAGGCACCACCTCTGGTGTTTGTCTCTTTTCCCTTTGCTAAGATCCATGAGCTGCTCTTTTAACAATTCTGAGGAGAAAAATTTATTCACTGAATGATACATGCTGAAGACTACCACCACTATGTAACAGCAGCTCTATACATGAAGCAGGAAAAAATGTCAGAAAATGTATCATAATTCTAGAGTGCAAGTTTATGCAGTACTTTAACAGCTTCTTCATGGTGGGAAAAATCAAGGAGGTGATACTTGCATAAATCAGAATGACTCTCCATTGTGAAGAAATGCAAAATAACCTGTCCTTACAGCAAGCAGTAGAACCATTTCTGTACAGAATCAGCATCGATACATTTTGGAAGAACAAGCCAGGAAGGGCTGTGCATCTCCACCACTCTCTCCACCCACACAGTCCCTACATCCAAGACAGCCAGGCTTTTACTCGGCTTAATTCACCCGCTGGCCCTGTTTGTGCCTGGCCACATATGGAGGCTGTCCCCTGCATCACACAGCAGGAAGTGACCCAGCTTCTCAGCCATACTCATTTAGTGATCTGCTCACTGCAGCAACATGGTGCTGTTTTTTCCTACTTACCCGCCAAAAGTATTTTCTGTTTGCATTCTTGGGAACTGTATCACTGGTATAGATCTCTCCTACCAGGGGTCCAAAGCGTGTTCCTTTTGGGATGTACTCTTTGCTTATCACTCCAGTGACCTACAAGAAAAACAGCACAGGATCAGTCCATTGCCAGTAGAAAATGAGATGTATCCCTCTTCTCCCTGCCCCCAAACATAACAAGGTAAAGCAAACAATGCAAGAAATTTTTTGCGACAGGTCAGCAAAACATAAATGAATAAATGAACAATCGTGTTGGTTACTATACAAACAGTTTTGTTAGGTACTAGCATTTTCCCAAGACATGTGGAAGCTAATGATGAATACCACCTTAAAAATGTGCTTTTTGGAAATACATTTACAAGAAGAAACAGTAAGCAAACTGTACAGAGACTGATACCTCCAGAAGTTATTTTTCCTATCAAAGGCAAAAGTCTAGCTCCAGCAAACAAAAATATGCAGTATCTATCAATCACTTCACTGCCACAGAGCTTGCTTTTCTAATAAGTTAGGAACTGGAATGACTGCTCTTCCAAATCAAAATGAAACCACCCTCCACCCCCCTCCAGTCTTTGGTCTATACCCACCCTGATAGCTAAAAGGAGAACACCAAAAAATACAACCTTCAGTTCTCTTACCAGCATACAGTGACATATAAAACAGAACATGAAATGGGTCTGGGACATATACTCACAGGTCACTTTCTGGTACAAAAAGGAATCATCAGTTCCAGTAACATATATAAAGTGGGTTTGGTCAAAAAAGGTGTAAGGATTTTGAAGAAAATGCTGCACTATGCTAAGTCTAAGAAATGTACTCTGGTTGTTCAGCTTCCTTCTTGACAGTAATTATACCAAAAAAAGTCACTGACCACAAATCAGGAAGCAATTCATCATTATTCAGAAGAACGTGCCTTGGAGTAACCCTTTGCAAAACACTGCTGAGTTATTGGTTTTGTCTCTCTGTTTCTCACCAATCTTCTTAAATTTAATGTATCTAAACAATGTTAGAAAACCAACAATTTTGTAAACCAAAAACCCCAAGCCTTTGCAAGATTGATCTTGCTGCTCAGATAGTAGAAAAAAAAGAAGGTGAAAAGCCCATTAATTTGGTATTAAAACCAAATATATTCTAAACTCTCATAGTAAAATGTATTAAACATCTTGCCACTTGTCTTGCCACACATCTTGCCACTTGTCTTTCTTCTTGCCAGGATTTCAGAACAAGACAGGAACACCAGAAATAATTGAGGAAGACTGAGAACTGGGATTACTGCTGTCTGTACCCCACAAGGAATCAATGTCCTTATCAAAGCAGATTAGCACTCGCCAGACCCTACAGGTAGCTCACTTCAGTGAGCTTTTCTATTTCTTTTAACAGCCCTTCTCAGCAAAGATGTAAAAACTCTGGACTGTATGTAGACAGTGCTTCACAAATTAGCTAAGCCCTCTGATTTTCTCATACTACATTTTCTTATAATGTGTGATCCTTAATGTGTGAGAGGCAAACAGAAATCCTTGCCTGTGTACTGGTCAAGATGAAAAATCCCAGTAAAAATGAACACCTAGTATAATTTCCTGTTAAATGTCAAAACAAAGGGGCCAAATAACAGCCATTGATTCAAGGAATCACCTGGAAACAGATTGCTGGGTGTATGTGGTGGTTGTTTGTACTCGTTTGCATTTTAACATGTGTTTTCAGCACACTACAAAGAAAAAAAATTAAAACATCAACAGCAGAGGTAGTTAAATGCTCCATTGATCTGTGCATCTGGACTGAAGAGAGAGAAGAGGGACTTCCAGAAATTTTCTTACACCTACCATATGCTGAAACATGCTCAGTAGCTCAGTTTTATTTTTGTCTTGCTTGTACATGTCTCATAGAGAGCTGAAAAAGGCAGATGTTCTTCTCATTTTCCCTATATATCTTAATTTACATCCATTTGCCCTCTCAAGAAAAGTTCACAACCAAGCTAGTTTTACTGCATGATAGCCTGAGATTTTTCATGGTTTTATAAATATCTTGGCCTTAATTAAAACAGCTTTAATGAAATTCTCAGAATCTCTAGAAATCACTCCTTGAACTAGTCAACTTGAAACACTCTCTGACACAGCAGATACTTTTTGATATCCACCTTATAGACAGCGTTTGTGTTCAGCTGTGCCAGGGGAGAAGCAAAGATGATTTCTCAGCCTGTACCCATCAGAACTTGGCAGAAGAGGTTCTGCACATCTGCATGCACCAGCACTGAAGTTTTGCTAAGCCAGACTATAAAGCTGTCCAGATGACTTTTATCTGACAGTGGCTCTCAGGTCAGCAATTCTCGGCCTCCAGGGCTCCCTCACAAGCTCAGCTGTTAGGATCGATGAGGGGCACCCTCCAGGAGAAGGCCACCAGCAGTGCCAAGGCAGCCTGGCTCCAAGCTACCAGCAGCCCCCCGCCGCAGCCAAAAGGGGCTCCTGCCCTGCCGCAGCTCAGCGGGTGCGGCTTAAAAAGAGGCCAGGATGAAGCAGGGAGCTGCCGAGGGCTGGCAGGCAGGACAGCGGCGCAGCTCCAGGCCCGGAGCCGGGGGTGAGCCGCCCCCGAGCTGCCGGAGGGCTGTGCCAGAGCGGCACTTCGGAGCTGCGTCCGCCAGGTGTCCTCCAGCGCGGCGCTGCGCCCGGCGGGGAGCCCTTCCCGGGAGCCGCGGGCAGCCGGGCGCGGGCGCTCCCCAGGAGCGGAGCCTTCTGCCGCCGCCGCCGGGCGCTCCCTGCGGGGCCCGCACCTCGCCGCACGGCAGCCACGGGCTGCTTCCCCCGCTAGTTCCTCTCCACAGGCGCTTACCCCTTCTCCCTTCAAACCTTCCAGCGCTCCGCCGCGTCCCTCCTCTCAGTACAACAGCATTTCCAGCAGGGAGGTGCAGCCCGGCGTCAGCCGGAGCCCGCTGCCCGAGCGGGCTGGCTGCGAGCGGCGCCCGGCCGGGCCGGCGGGGACAGCGCGGCTGCCCGGCCCGGCCCGGCCCGGCGGGGGGAGCCCGGGGCCGGCGGCAGCCCGGGACCGCGGCCCTGGAACTGACCAGGGTCCTAATGCGGCGCCGGGGGCCGGGCACGCCGGGGACCCGCCTGGCCCGCTCAGCACATCCCGGCCTGCCCGCGGCCCCCGGGCATGAGGCGGCTGGGCTCCGGTCCCAAATCTGATCTGAGATGGCGCTTCGGAAGAGCAGCGCTCCTACATCTTTGTCTGGGGTGAGGGCACTGAAATAAAACGACTCCTGCTAATTCTGCAAGGGGACGGTATTTTGCAATGGGACCACTAACCTGCTTAAAAAAAAAAACCCACAATACTGAACAAACTCTTATTGGCTTCGTTAAAACAGCAGTATTCTCCACACACAAACAAGGCAGGCTGTCATGTGTCCTGAATTAACACTGATTTCAATTTCTTTTTAGCTACTAGTTCTATAGTTATGTATTTTTTTACCCCTTTGTTCAGTGACCAGTTTTTTAAAAGTTATGCCACAAAATAGAATGCTTTCAGAGGGCTTTCTCGGCAACCACATAAAAAAATAAAAGCAATAGGGGAGAGCAAGTGTCTGAGGTCAGTGAGGCACAGTTCATGACAGCTCAGAATCACTGCTTTCACCAAAATCACTGATTCAGGGTCTGTCTCTAAGAAATGGTCTTATCAGAGATATGCAACAGTAATGGGTGGTTTGCCGAGATGTTTCCCTCAGTCAAAGCTCACGTATCAGGATGAGATACTAGTAATATTCAAGACAGCAGAGTAACTGTCATTTTATATCAAGAAGGCCTGTTTAGGCTATAAGCGCCGAGACTAAAGGGAAGATTATTGAAAAAAGTATTTTTAAATGTCTGCATGAAAAGATCATTCACATATGGCCTTCCAGACCATAAGCCCGACACCACATTTCATCATTTTTTGACAATTGCCAAAAACTGGTGGAAAGGATAAATAATTCACGCATAGAAATAAATAAATGACTTCACGTACATCTAACAGCCTAAAATGTTATGAGCAGTAGTAATTCATTTTTTAAAATGCTGACACATTCTGTGAACTCACAGCAAAAAATGTGTTCTTCAGAAAAGTCCCTGATCAAGATCCAAGAATAAACAAGAGTATGATGACGTGTCATGGGCTCCCTTGCAAATTGCATAAAACTTTAAATAGGAGCTCCACAAAGCATGCAAGGAGAAGATACAGAAAAAGCAGCCCTCTCCAAACAGTAGCAGTCGTACTTCCTCCCTCCTAAGCAGGCACGCAGTACTTTTCCTGCTCCAGCCAGAGATACAATACTAATCGTGACAGAGCTAGAATTTAATGATCTAATAATGACAGTATCAGCATTTCACAAGCGATATCTTATATATGTTTTTTTGACAATAAACTGACTCAGCATTTTAAACTCTCAACCAGATGAAGCCATAGCTCTTCCCAAAGTTAACAATGAAGACAGCTCACATCTGAAACCCACTGGCAAACATGCACGTATGCATCCCTCGAAGTCTTACCTCATCCTTTTGCAAGTGAAAAAAACCCACTCTCCTGAGCTGTCAGGACTCCAGTGGTTTTCCATGAGGTCAAAACCAGAATCAGGCTTCCTCACTGACCCACAAACACCAACACGCAAAAGCAACACATGTACCCAGTCCTGATCCCACTAAACAAAATCAAACTTGGAAGGCAGACAGAAAAACCATACAGTGTTTCATGTCAGAAGTTCCTAGCACACAAGGGGATTATGCCATCTACAACTACTTCACCCTGCGGACGAGTAGCAAATGAGACCTGTCTGTACATTCACTGGAATGTATCCTTCACAGAAGGTGGGCAAAAGAGCACATCATATCGGCCCTTCCTTTCAGAGCTACCTTAAAGATAGTCAGGGTTTAAAAGCTACTATCGCTCCTTATGGTAGGTGCAATTCAGCACAAATGAAAGACCAGGGGGAGCTTTGGAGAACAAAAGGAGGATGTCCTATATTCAGACTCCCACTAGCAGAGAGCTGCACAGGTCACATTTTACAAGAAAGAACCAGCAATCTTTCAACAACTTCTCTCTCCCCCCACCTCTTATACAGAGATGGCAGCAATCCTCCTGATTCACTGACCTGAGCCAGGGAATAAGGAAATTACACCTTGGTGTTTCCAAACACAGTGTTGGGAATTTTGAAAGCTCTCTGGATGTCTCCAGCCACAGCAGCAGGACTTTAAAGGGGCAGAGAGAAAGCAGCCTCAGCAGCCAATCAGCCAGCAGCCAAGGACCGACCCGAGCTGTCACACTGCAAGCTCATCCTTCAATCAAGAAATCCTCCTGTATCCCATGGCAGAGTCTCAGTTTTATTTCCCTCTTCACACCAAACTAAGATCTATCTAGCAATGCAATAACACAAAACCAGGTTTCACACTTTTTTTCTGGAGTATGACCTTTCTCTGCCGAAGTTCTGCAGGGCAGGGCAGATGGCAAGAGAAGAGTGATTTTAAGGAGAATTTAGCTTTAACCTCTTACCAAACGTACTTGGCACTCTATTAGGTGCTGTCAAGCTAAATTCCATGGTGTCAACACCCTTCAGCTGGGGGTCTGGCCCTATTTCTGTACAGAGGATTAAACAAGTACCCGCTCTGGAAGCAAATATTTGATAGGCATGGATGAGTGTACCTCTTCTTTTCAGCTCTGTGGTCAGTATGTTTAGCCCAAGCAGAAGCACAGGTAATAGTTGCTATACCACAAGTCTCAGCACAGGGAGAAATGAAGGGTTGTCCCCTGGGTTGTTACGCTACTGAACATCACACCTAGCTATAATAGCTACTCTATACGAAGGAGTAAACACAAAACCAAATTGCTCATCCAGGCTTGTTTCTTTCCAGCCCTTCTGAAACAACAACAAAGAATGTACCCACTCCAGGGACAAGGATGGAACAGACTCGCACGGCTAGCTACCGGTGAAGATACTGTCCCAGATAAACAAAAGTTAATTTAAGCTACGACCACACTTCTGTCAAGCTTGCTACAGTTCTACCATTTACTTCCTTAACTAACATGCCAGAGTTTTAAGAATTTAGGAAGTTGGGAATACAACATGCTCATGAAAAGAATAAAGCAATTTCATAACCAAAGGGAAAACAAAAAGAAATAATTAAACACATTTCCAGGAATTTGTTGGTTTTTTTTTTTCCTTTACTTTTTTAAAGCTATTTATTGGACAACCGAGGCACTTTAATCTCTGAGCCAGAGGCAATGAATGGTCCTGGCAAACAGCAGCCTAGAAATTGGCACAAAGAACTACCCCACAGTTTAAATATGCTTATTCAGATGCTGTTCAAATTGTGTGAAAATTTAACTGTTTGCGAATTGGTACAGAACCAGTTTCAGGGATAGGTTGGCTACAGCTTTCAGTGAAAATATTACACAACAGATGACCAGCACACAGTTTCTTAAAAGAGTTATTAGGGTCGCATATTAAAGGCCAGCGGGCAGCATTTGTTGTTGTTGGTAGGGTGTGTGTGTGTATGCTAAAGAATCAAAGACAGGGTGAGCACACGCTTTCCAAAGCGCTGTGATTTGGCTTGTCTGACTCCAACCTTCCCCAGAGCATTGCTGCTTACCTCTTTGCAGTTAGATGCGTATTTGAAAGTCAAGTTCCTTGGCAAGGAAGCCTCTGCCTGAGTTAGGGTGCCTCCATCGGCACTGGGATCCAGCGGATGATCATTTACAATATATGTGCACTTCTCTTCAAAATCAGCCTCTGTCCACAGAGTCATGTCAGCATCCTCCATGTCCATTTTCATTGTCCACTCTCTCCCTTTCACCAGATTCTTGAAACTCACAGCGTCCGAGCTACACTGCGTAGCAGCCTGGAAAAAAAGAAAACAGCCTTTAATCCTCATTGTCCTTCAGTGTTGTGGTTTCCGTTGATACAGTGTGACTAATACAGTAGTCTGTGACACTTTAAAAGCGTATGCAGGATAGTTGGTACAGTTGAGTAATAGCCAAAAAGCAGTGTAAACGAAGCTGCTCTGACTGAAGCAGCACTTTAAAATGCCAGCCTCTGTAGTAATGAGGGAACAAAAACAAAGAGGAGAAAATCCCTAGGCTGTGACAACCACTTTACCTTTTTCAGACCCTTTCCTTAATGCTTCAGAGAGAAAATAATATTCTGTGCTGAAGAAAATGTGGGGTCATGGCCGTGAGACCACTTAGTCGCCTGTGGAAAAGCTGCCTCAGAAAAGTGTCACACAAACAAGGAGAGGAAGAGGAAAGGAACTGCTGTCTGCGTCTGAATGAAGCTAAAAATGGAAAGCGCATGTTGGAAGAGCGGAACCCAGCCTTGCCTCTTCCAAATGGGGAAGCCTGAACTTTCCCACCGGCTTTCAACACACAAACAACTTTCAAAACAACCTGGCCCCCCCGCCTCCTCCTGACGTCCCCTTATCCTTTGGCATGGAAGGCTAAGAAAGCCGACATCCTGCCAGCATCACTGTAGCAGCAGCAGCCCTGCACAAAGCACTACAACATGTTCCTGGGGGGGTCAAACCAGAAAATGAGCAGGGGAAATAAATAAAATAATTGTTTAAAAATTTATTCTATCCCTTTTGATTTTGATGGTACCTCCTAGAATCAGTATCCCAAAGCAGTGCCTATGAGCATAGCAAAATAGTTTCAGCAAGTCTTTCAGCCCCTCTGTCTGTTCAGGACAGAAGCACTGTTATCTAACCTATCCTCGAACATGTATTAGGGTCGGGCTCTTTCCATAAGGTTCATGAGGAACCAAAATCTGTGCCTACGCCGGTAGCTGAGAATAACGCTCAATCCGGTGTAAATTCCCTTCATTTTTCCTTTTTGGATGCGCAGCTACTATGAAATTCACACCCCTCCTCCGGGAAAAACGAAACACGAAGACTGAAAGCGCACGATCTTCCGAGAAAGAGGTTAAGGGCTGACTGACTGTGGGTTCGGGGAAGACCCCCGGCGCCCCCCGGGACCGGCCCTCCCGGGAGGCACAGCCGGGCCGCCCGACGAGGCTGAGGCGGGGGTCACGGCAATACACAGCCCCCCCGCGGCCGCGGCCGCCTCCGAACCAGCCCCGTGCCCCGTCCTGACCGCGGTCGAGACGAGCAGTGCGACGGTGCCGGACCCTCGGCGTTGAAGGGGAAAAGGGGATGAACAGCGAAACCCGGGCCGGGGGTGTGACAGCTGCGCGGCGGAGCGAAAGGGTTAATGCCGATCAGAGGAGCGCTCCCGATCCGGGAGAGGCGACGAAGAAACTTTTGCTCCGTCCCGCGGGTGCCGGGACGGGCGAGAAGCAAGAGCCGCAGAAGTGGAGACGGGGGTGAAAGAGGGGACGGCATCGCGCTCCTTACCGGGGCAGAGTCCGCGCGCGTTTCCACACCGAAGCCCACCGGCGGCGGCAAACCTGGCTCATTTCTACAGAGTAAACATTTCTCCTTCCTTCCAGCGGCCGGGTCCCCGGGAGACTGACTCACACCTCCAGCCGCCGCTCCCCTCCCGCTCCTCCCTCCCTCCCTCGGCTGTCACAGGTGCTGCTGCTCTTGCCGCTGGGGAACGCTGGGGGGCCGCCTGCCACAGCCGCGCTGCGCTCGCCCCGGCCCGCCCGCCGCTCGCCCGCCCGCCCGCGCTCACGCACCGGCCCCTCCCTCCCTCCGCCGCCCCTCTCGCAGCCCGGGAGGTGGGGCCCTACCTGCGGACCCTGCCCCGCCCAGCCCACCCGCGTTGGTTTTTTCACATCGCTGTTATTATTTTATTTTTTCCCCCCTTGCTCTCGGCCCTGTGCGTCAGCTGGGAGAGCCGCGGCGCTGCCCCGCCGCGTGGATCTGCCGGGTGGGCGGGCACCGCGGCGTTTCGCGGAGAGCGCACCTGAGGCAGCTTTTACTAGAAATCTGTTTTCCGTGCTATTTTTAAACTCCGGAGTTTAATACGTGCCCGCTTTCGTTCTTGCGCAGTTTTACTTGATAGAACTTTATAAAAAATACCAACTAAAATTAATTTACTAGTTTACTGATTAAAACTCGATTCAAAGTGCTTGCTCCCAAACCTCAACAATTATAGTACTTTACTTGAGATGCCAAATTTAGGAGTTTTAGAGTTTTGATTTTATCCCTTTCCAGAGTCTCTAATCAGTGTCTGTAAGAGGAACTGGGGAAAACATTTCTGTTTCTTCCCTTAAACAAAACCTTCCCCCTTTCCTTTGGTAACAGCAGGGAAGCTCACAGCAGCAGGACACGGCACAGAGCGTTTCCGAGCCCGACGCCCCTTTCGCAGCGCGGTAAGGAAACGGGTCTGCTAAGAGCACGGAGCAATGTGCGAGCGGCCATCCAGAGCCTGCTGAGGGAAGGAGGGTCGGTGGAGCAATCAGCAGATCCCGGCACCCAATTTTTTTCCTCCCATCCAAGTCAGCATGCTGGCTGAAGGAAGGACATCCTGTGATGATGGCATACAGTGTCCTGTTTGTTTATTATTAAGAGCATTCCTGCTTCTCATTACAAAACAACCAGATGCCTTACTTCCTTCAGTGGTCCTGTCTCTTCAGCAAGGCGTCCTCCGGCTCAGAGGAACCGTGATGCACAATTCCATTTATAGCCATCCACAGCCCAGTGCAAATGCTAGCTGCTTCACTGTGAGGCAACTCTACTACTTTTTGTTCTTCTCACACGTCTGCAAGCATATTTCTCATAATCTGCCTGGCACTTTACGTGGCAGCTAGTTTCACATTCTTCTTCTAAACATACATGCACTTATATTCTAGGATGATCTTGGTGTATTTCTTCACAGGAGAAAGGGAGAAGCAGGGGGGGCGGGAAGCAGGTTTGTGCACTCGGGTGCCTGTCTGTCTCTCAAGGCGTACACAAACCCTTTTCCCTGAACCTGTTCCTCCTCCCACTGATAAAAAGATGTGTGGAAAGGATTACTTGCCATTTTGGGCCTGCGATGCTGAGAATAGCATATCTGTGTGAAGACCTTCCGTGTGCGCGCGCTAACGCGGCAGAGCTCGTGGCAGCAGACCTAAGTAGGGCAACTGCTCGCAAGTGAGTGTCCTGGCTTAACTGCCACCACAGCGTAATTCCACAGGAGAGGTGGCCCGAGCACTGGGGCTCAAGGATATAAATGTAATTGGATATACCCTGTAAAACCGAGGCACATCCAAAATGAGGTCTAGGAAGACTCTGAAGTAGGAAGAACCATTCATTAAAGGAGAGAAATCCGGCCTACTTGATTGGGTTAATTAACTGATGCTGAGTCACACTGCATAGAACAGAAAAACAATGTAGTCATACTGAAGGTGATTATTTTACCGAAAAATAGTCTCACTCCGAGAGGCAGCTGTTTCAGAGCTTTTCACTTCCCTGTTAGCTTGCAAGAAAAACAAAAAAAGGCGGGGGGGGTGGCGGGGGGTGGTAGGGGGGGAAAAACAAGAAGAAAGGGTTGATGTGTTTCCTTCAGGGACTGATCTTCTTAATGTGAAGGAGAGCAGGGGAAAAAAGCAAATCTGCTTTTCAAGGAACTGAGAATGCTTTTGGGCTGGAAAACAAGAGGAAGAAGAGATTAGATTAGACTAGATCAGATGAAGTGAAATATTCATCAGGAGGATGCCAATATCCCAGGTCAGTGCTGCTCTATCCCTGGAGCCTGGGGAGGTAAGTGCAGCCTGTGAAGCCTATGGACATCAAATAACTCTGTGGCAATGCTCTGAGGCTATCCTGAAATTAGCTCCAGGTGTCTCAGTGAAGCTGAGCCCAGAACTACCTTAGTGCAGGAGAAGGGGTTTTGCTGATGTGCATATCCAACCTAGCAGTGCCTGATCTGGAATAAAACTAAGTTTATCAAGAAAAAGAGACAGAAACAAATTGTTAAGAATGTGTACTAAAGTAAGAATCACAGAGGAAACTCTGCCATTAAAGAAATATATAGATTGACCTTCTGACCTTCCTCCTTAAGAGAGAAACATAAAAAGACGCCGTGTTCAACCAGAAGTTTTCTGCTCTTTTACAGAAATCGTTTGCACCAGTAGCTGCTATTGTCTAGAATGTGCAATCTCAAAATGTTGCTCATTTCAAAAAGAACATTTTTAGTAATATTTTAATTTTTTCCTTCTCGCTCATAGAAAACCTCAATTACTGTATTAATCAGCATTTCTTAGGCAGCTCTCTCTGCAGCAGCTTTCAGCCTGGCAACAAATCATGAATGGCCCTAACAGCTCTGATCTCAGAAATCCCCATCCATTTCCTTTGATGCTATCACCACTTCAGCTCAACAACAAGCCTGTGCAACTCAGCCTCAGCTGCCACTGCTGCTGTTCTCCCTGTGCCTGCTGTAATTGTAAGGGGAAGAAGGAGGGAAGGGAGGTGACTCTAATAGATGAAATTTCTTTAAAATTTGGAGGGGAGATAAAATGCACACAAGAGATTAAAGGAGAGTCTCATTTTCACATCCTCCCCTTCCCCAAACAAGGTCAGTGGCAGATTGACCACATCAAGAGTAACTACCAGACCCACCCCCATTTCCCACTTCCTGCATGTAGGCATCCTTGCGCTGGTAAACATTTGGGGACCAGTTGTGGTCATTACTGGAGAAGGTATACAATGTAGTTGCACGACTGCACATCTTTTTAAAAGCCAACTGAGAAATCAAACTCTTAAGAAGAACTTGCTTTCAAGTTCTGATATGCACTCATGTTTTGGGGCCACATTTTTGAAAACATGGTTGCTGTCAGATTCAAGGGAAAGAGAGAGACCCAGCACACTTTAGTGACTATGCAACAGGAAAAGTTATACTTTATTGTGAAAGAGAAGCTGTGTTCTCTTCAGACTAGCCTGACCTTTGCAAAACCTGCCTATGGGCTTCAGATATGATCTCAGAGGCTTTGTATGCCCTAGACAACTTCAACTGGCATTGCCTACAAGGAGAGAAATTAAAATTGCACTTGAATCTACAAGAATCTTTTTGCAAGGGCATTTGGGGTGGTGTGTGCTATAGCCAGGAGGCTTTTGAATTAACACATGCAGCTTTCGGGGACTGCCTTTAATTACAGAGCACCCTGGTCATTGCCTCCTAGCACTTCCAAATGCCAAACGTTTATTTTTATTTTTGTCTGGGCTGTGCAATACCAAGAGCAGATATTTTAGCTGCACTCTCAGCTACTGCCTAGTGCAAGCCTTAACATCAATTTTGGTTTCTGTTGTTTTATCCTCTCAAGAAATTTTCCTTAAAAAGAGAAAAAAAGTCAAAATAAAATACCATATTCCTTTTTGTTTCCCACTAGGCCTTATTAAAATACTGCTCAGATGACGTATGAATAAGCCAAAACAATTCTCCTCCAATGGAATAAAAACATTCTCACAGCATACAGAGGCAAGAATTAAGCTTCAGCCTTTTCCTCTTGTTGAGGACTTGAGTCTGACAAGAAGGAGCTGAAGCTGTCCAGGTCTGCCATCAGGAGGGCAAGAAGGCTTTGTGAGAGGGTGAACCACAGATGTTCCCTTCTAGGTTACCATCAGCCTTCCCATCACACTTCTGAGCAATGACGGTCTTGGGAAAAGTAGGTATGATAGTCAAGAGCCCATATAAGAACACTTTTACTGTCTTTGCATGTTTCTACCAACACAAGTTTATACTGGACAAGAAAATCTGAGTACAAATTCTACTTTTCACATGCCAGCCTTGAAGTTTTGAATATTCTGTCTATTGTAACTGAATGTGAGGAAAAATGAGTGACAACTGGCCAACCTGTTCCAACTACTTTAACTACTTTCCAACCTTACTGGTGACAAGAGGACTGGTAAGAGTGTGCTTTGGAAAATTTTCATTTAAAATAGGCTGACTTCCAGATTGTCACAGAGGAGAGATGAAATAGTATGCATGTATCAGAAGACTCCTCTTGTGAATACTTCAGAACTCAGCCCAATAACAAGCTCACAACAAGCTGAAATAATGAAGTCACCTCAGAAAACTGTATTATTTCAACTTTCATGTCTCTTCCCAACTTGGCAGTCATGACACTTTTTAGGGTATTGTCTCCTCAACCTGACACAGTGATATGAACAATGGTGAAACTTCAGTTTCAGTTTTCATGTCAGACACTCTCCAGGCTGCCGATCTCCCGGAGCTGATGAACACAGCAGAAGGAGGGCAAGATCCATGGGTGGAACTACGCCACTTTTCTGACAAAGAGCTGGCCACAGAGCGCATTTCAAAACAGATTAACAAAAACAACAGCTA